GCCTCCAGATCAGTACCATTATGCTATGATGGTATTATAAAAGTGTATTGTTCTCTGTTCCTTTTTCCCCTCCAGATTTTGTAAAAAAAAAAAAAAAAGATCCTTTAAAAGAGACTTGCACCCTTCGATGTTCACAATTTTTGATAATATTTAATGTTTTTGCAAAATAACACTTTTTATTTATAGAAATCTCCGTCTTTAGGCTTTTAATGCAAATTTTTTCTAGTTCCCCTTTAAATTATTTTCCCAGATGTAGATGTTTAAGGGTTTTCTAGTTGAAAAATATTTTCACCACCTCTATTGTGTGCTGTTTAAAAACATAATCTTCAATATGCTCTCTTTTGTACCCAACTTTCAGAAACAAGTGTCCTTTTTCATACTTATTTTTTAGGAAAGAAATGTTTATTGTGCAAACTAAATCGAAGGGAGGAGAAACAAATTCACAAGCAGCCTTGAAAGAATTTTTTTGCAAATCTGCCCTCATCAACATCCAGTTTAATAACCTAATCATATCTGTGAAGACAAATTACTTCTTTTTAAACACATTTCTTATTTCCGAAAGTCATCCCTGTCCTTGACATTCCTAATCAGCACTTGTGTTTTACATTAATAGAGAGGAACAAAGAATTAAGGTAGAAGTAAATGGGGCCCTTACTGTTCAGGAATTGTTATTCCCTAAAAAACTGGGTCTTTTGTCATTACCTACAGCTACATTCCAGCTGGAACAAAATACTTATCATCCCATTGATTTCAAAGCAAGCGCTAAGCGAACGCTTGCCCGTGGCTTCCAAAACAAATGAAATCTAAAATTATCCTTGGCTGGCTAGCGTGTGTCTATTATTCTTAGTTTTGTTTTAAGATTCCTCAACTTCAGAAAGTGCCACAAAGGTTTCTTGATATATGTCAGACCACCGTTTCTATTTGCTCAGTGTTGTGTACTCTGAATTGCAATGTTCCTCTGGCGGATGGTTTTCTGAGCTCTGTGCTTTTTTTCAATAATTCAGCGTGTGATCTTGCGTGTCAAAACATTCAATCTACTTTCAAACTATAGTTTCTTCTTAGAACACCATCACGTTTTCCCCCCTAGTCATGGGCTCTAAACAAAGTGGAATTTGATATCACAGCAAGTTATTTTTTTTTTTTAAAAAAATGGCTTCTTCTTAGGATGTTTTGAAACAAGTCTATTACATATTGCAGTGAGGACCTCCAAATTCAAGTGATTGAGTTGTAAAGCAGTAACATACAGCATTTGCTTAATTTTCAGATCAGGAGAGACATTTTTGTAAATGTAGTAAACTTAGGATACACTGATAATTGTGGGTAACAAGCAGCAAATCTGGGCTACCTGTATCCACATATTACAAAGCAATCTATCATTTGGTGAGCATCAACGTTAGCTCAGGCCAGTTTCAGAATTTTGTTTTCCCTTAGGGAGTCAGATGAACTTATCAATTCAATACATATTTTCTGTGTATGAATGCATTTGCTCATAACATGTTCTTGGTGGAGAAAACTGCTGGGGGTACAACTTCGCTGATCATCCTTCCTCTTTATTCCATTGGGTCACCAGAAAAGCTGCAGAAGAATTTGTAAATTGGTTGATTGGAAAGGGAAGCAAAATTGGAAAAACGGATTACCCTTCTCTTCTCATTAGGAATATCTATTGGCACTCAGCCCTTTGTATGAACAAAAGACATATTTCCATTCAGAAGAGCAAGCCAATTTGCATCGGTGAGTGCATACATTATAAGAGATTGCTGTTGATTTACCAACTTTAATACTTGAGATTATGGTTCATGTGAAGACATTGATTAAAATGATACTTATTTTGGGAGAACACTCCTGTGAAAATATGTGGATGGAACAATGGATGGAAACTAAACAAGGAGAGAGGCAAACTAGAACTAGGGAAAAATATCCTAACAGTAAGAACAATTAACCAGTGGAGTGGCTTTCTTGAGAAGACGTGGGTGCTGCATCACTGGAGGCTTTTAAAAAGACACTAGGTAGCCAGTTGCCTGAAATGGTATAAGGTCTCCTGCTTGAGCAGGGGTTTGGACTAGAAGACCTCCAAGGTCCCGCGCAAGTCTGTTATTCTTTGTCTGTGTCTTTCTCAGGCTTATGTTCAAGTTGCTTCTCAATACATCCTGGACCACTTTGTAGAGGGTGAGTATACTGTAATGTTATCAGTGTAATCATGGATGTACAATTTCAATGAAAGGGTCCTTAGCGCTCTCTGAGCTTGCTTGTTTCCTTGCAGATGTTTCATTACCCTAACTAGGTAACATCATCAGTTCACAGATACAAAATCTGCCCTGTATGAATTGATGAATCTGTTAAGTTTCTCTTCACACGTCTCATTTTTGCAAATCTGTAATTTTGTTTAAAGTTTTCACTAAAACGTCCATGTATTTTATACACATTTCTTCTAGCATGTAATTTTATTTGCAAAATTTGTCTCAATGTACATATTTGGGGAAATATTTTTTTCTAAAAAAATGCACTTATCCCATTATTTGGACTTTTGTGCAAACCTTGACCAGTTCATCATTTTTTTCCCTGATGAATTGCATTGCAGATTTTAAAATTATGTGGCTTTGTGTGGGATTATGGAATTTCACTCCTTGTACTAGTTCATTAGTGAACAGGACCTATAAACAACTCAAATTTGATTCCAAATCCTTCTTTTGATCATCTCATCCTGTTTTCCATTTCTTAAGAATGATCGTGTTAATCTGTCCTTCTAGAATCACAGAATCATAGGGCTGAGAGGAACCATGGAGGTCTTCTAGTCCAACCCCTGCCCAGAGCAGAAATTCTATTTGAAATGCTTCTCAATCTTAATTAATTCACATCTTTTTAGCTACCACATTTTGGATCCTTTCAATTAATCCCCATGAGAGAGTCTATATAGCGGATCTTCTCACAACTGTGGTCTCAGCTGGGTTTGTGAGCCAGTATGTACAACCATTTCATTGCAGCAGATGCAGTGGTGGGATTCAGCTGGTTCGCAACAGTTTGGCAGAACCGGTAGCTAATTTTTTGTTGCCCAGGCCCAGAATGGACTTCCGGAAGTGGCATCCACATAGAGAACTGGTTGTTCACATATTTGAATCCCACCACTGAGCAGATGGAATCTTCAATAAGCAACTTTTACATTTTCACAGCCAGAATGGTGTAGTAGTGAAAGAGTTTGACTAACAAGAGGGAAGCCCAACTTCTAATCCACTTTCAGCCATGAAAGCTCCCTGAGGAGCTTTCTTATTTTCTCTCAGCCCATTCTATCCGACATAAATGAAGGAAATCTTCTAAATTGCCTTGAACTCTGCAAAGAAAGGCATGATATGAAATCAAACACATAAACAATTAAAAACAGGGGTGACATAATAGCGGTCTTCCAATATCATAGGGACTGCCTCAAAGAAGAGGAGGGGCAAACTATTTTCCAAAGCACCTCAGGGCAAGAGAAGAAATAATGGATGGAAATTAATCAAGGAGAGAACCATCCTAGAATTAAGGAGACATTTCCTGTCAATGAGAACAATTAATCAGTGAAAAGGCTTGTCTCCAGGAGTTGTGGGTGCTCCAACACTGGAGGTTTTTAAGAAGAGATTCGACAGCCATTTGTCTGAAATGATATGAGGTTTCTTCCCTGAGCAAGGGGTTGGACTTCAAGACCTCCAAGGTCCCTTCCATCTCTGTTATTCTACTGTACAATGACATACAGAAAGCCATCTTATTCCAAGTCAAACTTTGGTTTACTAAGATTACATAAGCTTTTCTTAACCTCGCACCATCCAGAGGTGCTAAGATCACAACTCCTAAAGATTCATTCTGCAAATTCTGGAAGTTGCCCTCTCACTAGAAACTATATCTGGTTTACACTGACTAGTAGCAGTTTTTCAGCACTTCAGACAGGGATCTCTTCTACTAGCTCTGTCTGGAGATACTAGGAGCAAGATTTAGAGAGCTTTTGCCTGATAGGAATGTATTTTATGACTAAACACTTGCCATTTTCTAGTAAAAACTGCCAAAGAAAGAGGGGGCCTCTGAAGATAACTAGATACAATCCTCTTTATAGCAATTGTCCATATGGCCGTTGATCACTCTATCCCCAAATCCTTGTCTAAGTTAATGTGGATTTACATGTGGTTTTGAGTTGTATGTGTCGTATTTCTTAATTCCCTCAGAGAGATCCTGGACTTTGTGGAAGAACCAGCCCTTGGTTGGAAGGAGGAGGAGGAGGAGGAATATTTCATGAAGAGGGAAGTTCCAGATTATCCAGCTCTATTAATATCAAAAGTGGGAAATTTGCAAGACCAGCAGAAGTAACTCTTTCTTCCTTCTCTTGGATGTCAGATCTTTTTCACTGCTGGCTATAGCAGCTCTTAATAGAACAGAATATTTGTAGTTCAGGGTTGAATTATTGGGTCCCTGGTGCTCTCTGAGCTTGGTTGTTTTCTTGGAGATGTTTCATTACCCAATTAGGTACTATCATCAATGCACTGATGATGTAACCTAGTTGGGTAATGAAACGTTTGCCAGAAAACAACAGAGCTCAGAGAACATCAAAGACCCCACATAGTAGCTCTCATAATCTCATTTACCAAATCGGGAAGAACTAAAACAAGAGTCAACTGCAAAAGCTCTGGTTTCAGGGGTTGATGGATGGGAAGTTCAAAGCCACAATCCAGAGAACAATGCAACCTGGTTTTCATGTGAGCAATAGTGTTGGTTTTCTGCTGTGTTGCTACTACTAGCCACAGTTGGGATTGCAAAAGCAGTCTGTGATGTGGCCTGCTGTTCATGGAATTGTTTCTGGGCAGAGTGCAGAATTCTGGATGCACCTCAAGTTACTCAAGTTACTCAGTCCATTGAGTAACATAATCACAACCTTGGTGCATTAAAACATAAGAGATAGGCAGACTCTTCCCTCCAGAATACTTTTTTTTAAAACCACATTCCATTATCAGACACGACACATTTCAAATGCGCGTAAATTTACAGAAATTGCATTTTATAGAAAATATGATACAATGAAATATAAAATGCACAAGGAGCATTTTCAAAGTCTCTAGACAAAGGAGCTTGCATTCTAGTACGATCTCTTAACAACCTTTTGAAATATTTATTTGCACTCATTCCTTCCCCCCTCAGTGCCAAACGAGAATCTTTTTTTTTTTTTAATATTGACAAAAAAGTGTGTGTCGGGGGAAGAAGGTCAGCCCTTTTCCCCCACGGATCATCAAAACAATTTCTCCAAAATTGTGCTCCCTCTTGGATTTGAAGCAAATAATATCTAATCCATCCTTCATGGCTTCCTCTTCAATCTGCTGCAGACCTTTTTGTCCATTATCATAAGTAATCCAAGATTTGATAGCACAATTAAGTGGCTCAATCTCCATTAAATGTGGTTTTTACATTACACATCCATGCAATCTAAATAATTGTACAAACATTAGACATAAACCACGTTAAGTCCAAATCATTAAAGGGAGGAAAAAAACAGTTTTGAGAGAGAGGAAAAACTGCGGAATTGTAATTTTTTTTTTTTTTTTTTTGTAAATACAGACCCTACGTACACACTGGGTAGCATGATACCCTTGATAACAGTGAGGTTCTATCAGAATGCAGCAAATAAGTCTGGCTTAATTGTCAACATTTAAGCACATTAATCACAAGGTCCCCATTGACATACCTGCCTTTTCTTATCCCATAATAGCCTTTGATCACAGATAGAAATACCACTCATCAGGAAGTGCCATCATTAATTGGTAGGTTTGGCTCATAATATTCAAGATATACCCATGGGATAGTTCATGAATCTCTAGACATTTTTTTTTAAAAAAGAAACCAGTTATTATTATTTTTTAAAATAAAGATGTTGTGCCTACATGTTTACATAGAGAGGAAAATTGCACGTGTTCTAAAAAATAGAGATAAATGACTTCTCAAGGTTTCATCTCTATTCGGGGTTCTACATGAAATGCTGTTTAACGTAGTCATTTGTGGGCAAAGGGAATTTATGGCAAACACGCTTCTGGCTCTCATTCCCCCAGCCCCCAGAAAATAAAACCGCTTTTCCAAATATGGAGCATTTCTTTCTACCGAAGAAACTCAGTGTGGGGGAATTATCCAAGCTGACGGTTCTTAAAATATGAACTCGGTACTTCTAAAGAAGACTAATTCTTGGCTGGAGGGGGGGGGGGGAGGGAAGAATCTTTTCTCCATTTGCATCCATCAAGGTGGTGTGAGACTGTTGTGACTGAAGGTACAATTGCAAATTCTTGTACAAAAAACTTTCCCAACATTTTCCTTAGGAAACCTTTACCCGACAAAGCCAAAGCCTGCCCCAACAATTAACTATATGCAAAATAGGTGAACGATCACTAACCGAGACCTCAAAAATCTACCTGAGGTTGTATATCCCATATCAAACATTTCTGAGGATCAAAGAGACCATCTTTTTCTGAATTACAGTCACTTCTCTCATGCTTTTATTTATTTTCTAGCTCCTTTCCTGGCTGTGGGTTTGTCTTAGGTCTACTTTGCGGATTAATTTTTGATGCAATGGTTTTTACAAAGTGATTTTGCCTGTTGCTTTTATATCAGAAATCATCTGTTCGGATCTGATTAGATCTGATGTTTGCCACAGTCTGGAAACATTACTTTAGCTGTGTTGCATTCAGGAACAACATTCATGGCATGAGAAAAGTTTACTGGACCTAATTTTATTACGTATGCAAAAAATAATTAATATTGAACTGGGATTGAGCTGACTTTCCAAGCAGGGTAACAGATTGTTTGAAATGGTCATGATTTTATAAGTAGCAGTGGGCAATTCAAAAAGTGAAGATTCTTGCAGAATATTATGATATTCACGGCTTAAGTCAAACACATGTAAAATTTCTAAAGTGAATCCTGACTTGAATTACACTTTGGGAAATATGGACAATTTGAAAATCAAGTATCAAACAATAATTTTGTTGTTGTTTTACAAGGAAGTAACCCATTAAGAAATGGTCAGATAAACCTAGCTATTTGATTAGTCTTTATATGCTATTGATTTGCATGTGCTTTTCAGTTGAAATCGTTTGTTTTTCTTCCCTAATATCAGAGGATCATAGACAAATTTACTTCTATAACTGTTGTCTGCTGTTTAATAGTATGGAAATTCACATATTGATTCAGGCTAGAGGCCTATCTAGTCTGATTTATTTTTTAAAAAAAATCAAAAGAAGAAGAAAAAAATCCTTCCAAGAATAAATATTATAACACCAGTAAAATAATGTTCTTTGTTAAGGTTTTTTTTTTCTATTGATGCAATGGCATTCAAAGTATTTTAAGGACTATTGGTCCCACAAGCTAGGCCTTGGCATTGTTTTATTTTTTTTTCAATTCATTTTATAATTCTTCAAAATAAGGCAGCTCAAATATTTGGCCAAATTCTCTGGCCTTCAACCATCTATTAATATAATAAGGGAGTTAGATTTGTTTGTTTGTTTGTTTGTGCTTTGCCATGCTCATTTTCTGTGATGCAATAGGAAGGTGATTTTTGTGGCCAAAAAGAAAACAAGTCTACAAAACTGATGCTCTGTGTTAACACAACCTAGGAGAGAAAACACCAACTAGGACCCACACTATAATATTCAGAGTCTTATGTGGCCAAAATAAATTGTGCTGCCTTCCCACATTTTAATCTCCGGTGACCAAGCTGGTTAATCTGAAATCACTTCTCCAGATGCTTACAGTTCTATACATCAAAGAATTCCACCAGATTCCCACATCCTACTCATTGCAACAAACATCGATTAGCAATACATAACTCCACCATGGACTCAGCAGAAGAAAAAAAGTCTTTTTTTGTTTTTGGAAAAAAGGATGAAAAGGAAATTGAAAAGAAAGACAAAAGTTACACTTTGGTCTTCGGATCATTTACTGTAAAGTTTAGGTAAGAGCGTCACCTTGTATTTCGCCAAGGCTTTCCAATGCTATAATTCTATGCAGCTACATCACATGTGGCCAAGTCACAAGAGAAAACCCAATTCAATATTTTGCATCAGATAAACAATGAATGATATATACAACAGGTTGACTGAGTTCACCATTTTTTTTTTAGGCCAAAAAGATTTCTAAGTTTGGTTTCCTCTCTTGTATACTAACATCACGTTTCTTTTGTTATTTCCCCACCCACAAACAATTCTGCTGGGTTTCTTTTTTCTTTTAGAATAAAGCCCCAAAAGATAAACCATACCATTGTTCCTGGTGTTTTGTTTTGTTAATTCCTTAATTCCTTCCAAGCTAGAACTGGTTTAGGGTTACAGAGTGTGGTGTCCAGGACACGGTGGAAACGTAAATTGTTTGTTTCTTTTTGAACACTCCTGAGATTGAGGGAATCTGATACATGTACCAAAAGGCACTTTCAAATATATATATCTATATATATATTTTAAAAACAGTGCTTCTGTTCTAAGAAATTCAAGTTAAGACAGAGTGCCTTTCACTCCCTTTAGTCATAAAGTGGTTAAAACAAGCAAGATCCCTGCTGACACATGAGGGAGGGGAAACAATTAAAATAAAAAAAGGCAGCAGAGACACGTGTTCATGCTAGACAGCTCAATGTTCTTAAAAAAAAAAGAAGAAAAAGAAGAAAGAAAGGGGGAAAGAAAGAAAGAAACAACAGCAAAAGAAACGTTCTAAGTCACCACTAAAAAGAATACAGTTGGCTGAAGGTATTAATTAAAAAAGCTGCCTCTTTGAACAGATCTTGATTCCTCTTCTGCTTTTGCTCTCTCTTTTTTTTGTATTTTTTTTTGTTTAATTTGTTTTTGTTTTACTCCTTTCTTCTTTTTCTTTCATCCACCTTGGGTTGCTCTCTTTCTCTCCATCTTCTTCTTCTAAATGCTATATCTTTCCTCTTTTTGCAAAACAAGAAAAGTGAGGTCATTTTAATCATCCTCGCCACCCCCATACATGTCCGCCAGTTTCTTGAACCTCGGTCCCCAGTCATTAAGGTAGTCGTAATCTTGGTCTCCAGAGCTTGAGGAGTTAAGTGAGCTTACCGATCCTGCTGTTGAACCACTTCCTTCATAGTCAAAGACGAGAAGGGAGTCGTAGGGAGGGGCTGTTGGGTCATTGTCAGCTGCTCTGAGGCCCTGGAATATTTAAGAAGAGGACGCTGTAAAAAAAGTTACTTGTGAGGAAAACCCACTGAACACAATGATGCTTATTTTGCTTATTAGGCTTATTAGGAGCTGATTAGGAGCTGTGGAGGTGCTTCTCTCAGGGGTAGGCAACCTTGGCTCTTTTATGACTCGTGGACTTCAACTCCCAGAATTCCTGAGCCAGCATGGCTCAGCATGGAAACCTCTCCCTTTCCCCTCAGCATGGCTGGCTCAGGAATTCTGGGAGTTGAAGTCCACGAGTCATAAAAGAGCCAAGGTTGCCTATGCCGTACTGCAGGCTACTTCTGCTGACTGCCTGCAGTTTGGTAGTTCGAGTCTCACTGAGCTCTAGGTTGACTCAGCCTTCCATCCTTCCGAGGTCGGTAAAATGAGGATCCAGATTGTTGGGGGTGATAGGCTGGCTCCGTAAACCGCTTAGAGAGGGCTGTAAAAAGCACTGTGAAGCGGTATATAAGTCTAAGTGCTATTGCTATTTCTGGCTAAGGATACAGCTCTAACAACCAAACTGCATTTTTCTGAAATTTCTATTCAATTAAAGCTGCAAATTATATATGCAGAATTAGACTTCTGCCACTAAAACTGAAGCTCGTTTAATGAAGGGTGAATTTATCTGATTTCAGGAACTTCTTTTTGACCTCTCTCTCATCTATTTTTGGATTCACAGATGCAACCACGATTGTAACGTATAAGATTCTGCAATAAATTTGTTTAAAAAAAAATCTCAGAAAAAAGATTAACTTTTTGTTTACAAGCGAGTGGCACGAAGAATCAGTATGTATAGGAGATTGTTCGTGGAAACAGTGGCATCTGTTGAGGGGGGGGGAATTCAAAAAGTCAAGACGGAGGTCACAATAATGTGATTAAGTGGCACATAAAATGCTTGGCTCTGTGGTTGTGACCGTCGTGCCTCACAGATCTCTCTGGGATAAAATATGAATGGACTCATTGTATTTGGTTTTCATACTGGTTCTAAGTTAGAGTGGGCAAAACTTTGGTGACCTAACATTTCAAAGGGGAAAAAAATTGCAATGGGTGAGACACACTGGTACAAAATAGGTTGGGTGACATCATGCATGTGGGAAATGCCAGGAGTTTTATATCGGGAAAGAGGAAATTGTAATAATGCCTATTTTTAAGACTTACAGCCAGTTCTCATGTGTTTCACATCTTCGTTTGGTAGGAAGCCATGCAAACACAATGATTTTGTTTTGGCAATTTTGGGCCGTCCTAGAGGCAGCATTCCTGGGGTGGCCCATGTAACACCTAGGTCAGTGGTGGCAAACCTATGGCATGGGTACCCGAGGCCTTACTCAGAGCCAAGATAGGCAAAGGCTGTTTTCATTTCACTAAGCACCAGTATTCTTTATAACTTTTCATACATGTGTTTGCATGGAGAGAATAGCTCTACCTGGCGAGGATTATAGAAACAGACAGGGAGAAGATGAATCAGACTGAATGTTAGTGAAGTGTGCAGGATGGCGTCTGCCGGAGAGACCAGAGCAAGGGAACGTTTAATGATGAAAAACAGTAAGGCTGGAAAGGAAAATTTCCAGAGCAGGAAATAGATACAATGGCAAAATTAAATTGCTCTCACGATTGGTTTGCAAACATGCTGTCTCTCTTTTTAATAGTAAAAGGATCAAGGAGACAAATTAAAGAAAAAGATTAAATGCAGTTACAAGAACTCTAGGGGGAATTTAGGGGCTTTTTTGGAGTGGATTGGGAGAAAAAAAAACCCTGTCATGGAATCATGGAAATTTCTGTAACCAAGAATGCATTGTAAAGTGGATTTTGGTCTACATTATTGTGGCTTGGTGTTCATGGAGTTATTGGTACTTTTATTGCTATTTTTATATTTAAAGGATGATGATATAACCTAGGGCAGAGGTAGGCAACCTTGGCTCTTTTATGACTCGTGGACTTCAACTCCCAGAATTCCTGAGCCAGCCATGCTGAGGGGAAAGAGAGAGTTTTCCATGCTGAGCCATGCTGGCTCAGGAATTCTGGGAGTTGAAGTCCATGAGTCATAAAACAGCCAAGGTTACCTACCCCTGGCCTAGTCCGTTGTTTCTCCATCTCAACAACTTTAAGATGTGTGGACTCCAACTCCCAGAATTCCTGAGCCAGCCATGCTGAGGGGAAAGGGAGAGGTTTCCAAGCTGAGCCATGCTGGCTCATGAATTCTGGGAGTTGAAGTCCACGAGTCATAAAAGAGCCAAGGTTGCCTACCCCTGACCTAGGGGAACAGAGAGAGTTATGAAGGTTGATTTTACTGAAACCCTTCTTTCAAATGATCACCTATTCTACCTTATATATTTATCAGAGTCCTGTTCCTTCCTTTCCTAGCAATATGTACCTTCTCTTTTTATTTCCAACCATGTCCATCCCTGTGCAGAATAAGACTTCCAACCATTCATTTTTAATGGCTGTTCAGAGTTACAACAGGACTGAAAAAAGTGACATGACCTGCCTTTGAGGTCATAACCATCACATCATCCGCACAGCCCCATGATTGCAATTTGGGGTCTTGGCAACCAACTCTCATTTACGATGGTGGTGGTCATATGATTGCAATTTATCATTTCTCTGCCAGTTTCCGATAAGCAAAATCAATGGGAGAAGCTGGATTCACCTAACAGTCATGTGATTTATTTCACAACTGTATGACTCATGACTGCAGTAATGCCGGTTGTAAAATTGGGTGCAGTCACATGACGACTCACTCACTGACCACATCATTTAGCAAACCAAAATTCTGGTCCCAACGGTGATTGTAACTTGAGGACTGCCTTGTAGTTCTGAATCTTGGAGGATGTGGGAGAGAAGATCATGTTGTGGTCCCGCCCTAAGGTTGACTTACTTGTAAATTGAACTACAGCATCATAACATTCTTCTAGATGCCTGTCTACTCTGTTCTCATAACAATAGCAAGAGCATTTTGGCTTATATTCTGCCCTATAGTGCTTTACACCACTGTCTGGGCAGTTTACAATGTAGAAGCATTATTTGCATATTGCTCCAAACAGGCAGAAGGGGTCAGGTTGTTCACCAGAGCACCAGAGAGAAGGACAAGAAACAATGGTTGGAAACTGATCAAAGAGAGAAGCAACCTGGAATTAAGAAGAAACTTCCTAACAGTGAGGACAATCAATCAGTGGAACAGCTTGCCTCCAGAAATCATGGGTGCTCCATCACTGGAGATTTTTAAGAGGAGACTAGATAATCACCTGTCTGAGGTGGTATAGGTTCTCCTGCTTGAGCAGGAGGCTGGACTAGAACACCTTCAAGGTCTATTCTATTCTATTCTATTCTATTCTATTCTATTCTATTCTATTCTATTCTATTCTATTCTATTCTATTCTATTCTATTCTATTCCATTCCATTCCATTCCATTCCATTCCACTCCACTCCACTCCACTCCATTCTATTCTCTGACCTCACAAGGATGGAATGCTGAGTCAACCTCAAGCCCCGTCAGGATCGAACTCAAGGTTGCAGGCAGAGTTCGTCTACAGTTCTGCTTTCTAATCACTGTGCCCCCAGAGCTTTTTATCACTAGTCCACATTTATCATTTCCATAAATTAAATGTGCATTGTGGGAAAAATAACTCTTTAGTCTGCCTTGAATAAGTGTGTGTCGCAACCAGTGATACCACAGAGAGATTCTTAAATATTGGATGATCAGACGTTTGGCCAGAAGATCTTATCGTGAGGGTAACCCAAGAGCACATCCATCACAGCTATGGACCTTCACTGGTTGACTTTGAACCAATTGCTCACTCTGAATCCAATATGCCTCATTAGATTTTGATGGGGAAATTGTATTCTACCTTGAGGAAAAAAAGCAGGATATAAGAGCCTTGGTGGAGCAATGGTTAGAATGCAGTGTTGCAGGAAAACTCTGCCCACTGTCAGGAGTTCGATCCTGACTGGTTGAAGGTTGACTCAGCCTACCACTGTTGTGAAGTCAGTAAAATGAGGAACCAGATTGTTGGGGGCCATATGCTGACTTTGTAAACCACTTAGAGAAGCTGTAAAGCACTATGAAGCAGTATATAAGTGCTATTACTATAAATCTAACAAATAACTACATTCTTCTCTGTACCTTGATCTGAGGCTACCTGCCTGCAGACCTTTTCAATGGTAGTCTCTTATGTCTGAAATGCTCTTCCTAGTAAGGTATTCCCGGCTATCCATTTTATTGTCTTTTGGGCATCAAACAAACATCCTTTTATCCTCCCACACATCCTAAGCATTGTAATCAACTTGTTGATTTTTAGTATCTGCTGTTCAGGAGCCTTTTCTACCTTTCTTTTCAGCTGTTGCTATTATGGTTCTCCTGATTTAACGTTATGTGATTGAACGTTTGTGCTGTTGTATATTTTAATTGTTTTAGAATTTACAGCCTCTTGTAAAGCTGCCCTGGGATCGATTGGGTTTTGAAGGCAGCCCAAACATTTTTTTTAAAAAATTAAAAATGCACAATGGAACAAGGCAGGAACAGATAAAATAATCTCTCTGTTTTTTTTTTTAATACTGCGCTGCAGGTTTGACATGCCTCTGATGAGTGAACCATGGGAATCAGCCGTAATGTGCACCTGTTTAAATATAATGAACACATTCCCCAAGATGGAGGATTACACGCCTTAGAGCACTGCACTAATCGGGTTTATTATATTTTACAGACTGTGGAATAGCAACTACATTTTCTCATACGGTCCATTGCGGAAATGCTACAAGTCCTGTATCTGAGGGCTACCTTCGCCCCTGGTTCATTGCTTCACAGAATCAACCGGTTTGTCTCTTGGGTAGCCGCTACGTATTTATTGCTTTTATAGTTTCAATTTGCTGCTGTTAAATGTCGGTTCCACCGGTTCTTTATGCTTTATTTGCCTTGGGCAATCTGCTGGAAGGGCAGGCTGTAATGTTTTGTGAATACAATAGCAAATAAAGAAAACGAGGGATGGCGCTTGGGTTGTGGGAGCTAAGCAGACGAGATTGCTAATGCCATCGATGGCTTGAATTCAAAGCATCTTCAGGGATGCCCAGACACTGAACATGAACAACAAGGTTTTTCAACTTTGGATGGAGTAGGAATACTGGTAAATGAGCTTACTAATGCTGCTTTATATTAACTCCTTGGCAAGTTTTTCAGTGCACTCCAGCCCCAGTTTAGCCCTGGGATTTTCCATCCAAATCCTAAGCAGATCTCCTTAGCTTGTTTGAAATCAGTCAAGATTAGTTAGAGTCCACCATTAGTTAGAGTCCACCATCTGCCAACTAGACACTAAATTATAATAAATGTATACTTTAACTTTTGAAACAAGACAATGGTAATATACTTGGCAGGTGTGGTTTCTCTCAAAACCACCCTTCAGCACCACCCTTCTTGGAACATATTCCAAGAAATCCATCCATCCATCCATTGATCCGTCTGCCCACTCATTGATCCACCCATCCATCCATCCATCATCCACCTATCCACCCACCCACCCACCCACTCCTCCCTCCCTCCCTCCCTGTATTCTATACATGCTAATTGCTGTCACCAACTCTTGGTGACCAATTAACCCTACAGCACTACAGCAGCAGTCTACAGAAATCTGCAGGAACATACCTCATTAATAAAGTCCCCGATGTCTCCAGGGTGGGGGATGACAGGCCGTATAGGATATTGTGGCTCAGCACCGACAGGTCTTTCATCCACTCTCCTGACTCCATTTGGCTTGTTTAAAACATGATCCATATTCTCTGGCTGCTGAAGTTGGCTTAAATCATAATCCTATCATGAATACAGAAGGAAAAGAGTGAAGTTGCGGCAGATTTTCACTGAAGATTATCCAGTACCTTTGTGCCATTGGGGGAGCTAAATAACATGACTGACTTAAGTTTAAGGGAAATCAAAACAGAGCTTTTAAACTCTATGGCATTTATATTGCTACTTAATTCAACATATATGATATGCTATTGATCTTTGGCTGGACGGTGCAAAGAGATTTACAAGGCAGAAAGCTGCAAACACGCACTCTTGACTAATCACTTATTTGGTTCACATTTTGGAGACATCTCAATGTGGGTTTGGAGTATTAGTGATGCTCTATTCAATGACCATCTTATGGCCTCTGCTGCTCAGTGATCTTTCCACAATCTAATTTGTAATTGATTTGGAAGAGAGAGAGAGAGAGAGGGAGAGACCGATTTAAACAAAGCAAATCCAAACTTCAAACGAATTATGGATTGGCATGTCAGATGGTGGTAGATCACAACGGAAACAAAGAATCCAAGCTGTGATCAATGATATTATAGTTTCCCAAAGTCTATATTATGCCCAGAGATCTTTTTCAAAATAGAAACCTTTTTGTGCTATATAAATTTTCTAGATTTATATTAAGCTTTAATATTAGTGTTTCTCCTGGTGACAGATGAATACGGAACTGAGTTTTTATAGCACTCACTTTTCAGATATATTTGAGCTGCAACTCCTTAAAATTCCCATCGATTTCTCAACCGTTTAATAGACATTTTAGAGTAGTGCTGTATCCAGCTCAAGTCTCATAACTGCGGTTCAGATATACAGTCTCAGATCTTTTGCATTATTTTGATTCCAACCTGAACTCTAATCGATTTCTCCCAAAGATGGAGTGATCCTCACCTGATCTTCTTCTCCACCACCTTCTTCATCATATTTAAGAATGTTGTCCCGGACATCATCTTCGGGATCAATGAGTAGCTGCTTAGTGTGACGTTCTTTCTCCCTCCGTTTCATCCATACCACAAAAAGCAGAACCATGGCTAGAAAAAAACAATTGAACAATAGCAACCACAGCTAAATGTCACAATCTCCTATTCCTTAAGGACAATCAACCCTAGCCAAGAAAAGTGCAGTCAATAATACCCCGTCTTTTCTTCATGAATGGGGTTTATACTTTGTGTTGGCCTGAGATCTGCAAAATTGACCACAAATAGGAGAAATAAATAGAAGCTAACCACCATATTGTGAGAACACGAGTGAGCAGTTAGACGAGGACCCCTGAACTCATTGGTAGCCTCACATTGCAATGAACAAAGACATGCTTTTAATTTCACAGTTACTATGATTGTTGGCTGAGCAGGGACAAAAATAGCCAGAGAAGTGATTAAAGTCTGGGAAACGGGCCCCTTGTCAATCAGTAGGAGTGCTGATTTACCACCAGTTATCAGGTGCTTGGGAGTCAAGGGCAGGCAGCACAAGGAAACAACAACTAATAACTTAATAGCAGTCATCAACACCCTTGTTAACAATTAAAAGCCACACATAACCAGGAACCATATAAATACAATGCATAAAACAGCCCAGTGCACATTTTTGGAGAGAGAGAGAGATAGAGAAGTTCCCTGAAGGTGGGCTCCAGCACAAGCCCAAAAGCTTGGAAGAATAAACCTCACGTCCTGGTGACCAACTCAGATTGGACTGCAACTCCCAGGCTTCCCCAGCCAGCCATGTTTGTGGACATGCTGGCTGGGGAATTCTGGGAGTCGAAGTCCACATGTCTTAAAAGTTGCCAAGTTTGGAGATCCCTGTGTTAGATGGTTCTGTATGCGTTGAGTAAGCCTAGCAACAATCTACTTCTTCATTGGCAGAAAGTGGACTGATGTGGTAGCAGGTAGCACTGTTTTTAGGGAAGATGTTGAGAATGCCAAAGGTACATATGCTAGCTTACAGGTAAAATATTTTCTCAAGCTAAAAGCAACTATTGTAACTCAGTACACAGATCATATGCATTTCTTAGCAACAATACAGAAGTGCTAGTTGGTAGGTTTTCACAGCTGTTCTTTGTCGATAAAATGACTTTCACTGACACCTTCTACGATGCTCTCCATTCTGAATGTATGGCAATGAATGAAATGTTGACACGTATCCGTAGCTTCACAGACATCATCCGGAAGTCAACACATCAGTGTGGAAGTGGTTTTGCCATTGTCTTTTTCAGAGATTTTTCAAGAGTGTCACAAGCTGGGCTCTCTATTTGGTCCTCTCTTATCTAAAAACTAACCAGGTCTCCCTGTAGGATTTTGTAAACATTCATTTTTGAGCTGTCTGCTGGAAATGGCTCCTTGCTTTACCGTAATAAGCACAACACTCCTGCAAGGTACCACGTGGGTGGGAAGGCAACAGCCTTCCATGCCCCTTGGAGTATAGTCATGAAAATGTCTTCAGACAACACTGATTCCCTCAGCTAGGAAACAGGGGCGAGTATTTTCGAGCTGGACACGACCGGACAGGGAAACCTTTATCTTTACCTTTTACTGCAATTTTACCAAACTATCCTTCTCTGTGCTGGAAAATTACAGGTTATGAAATGTGTGTGTATGGGGAGGAAGGGTGTCTCTAAATCAGAGGTGGGGAACTATGGCCCTTTTATGACTTGTGGACTTCAACTCCCAAAATGGCTGGCTGAGGAATTCTGGGAGTTGAAGTCCACAAGTCATAAAGTGGCCATAGTTCCCCACCTCTGCTCTAAGTGAACCAAAATCTGAAGCCAGAGGGACAAACTCTTGGATTATACGGCCTCTCCGTGCATTTTACCTCTCCAGTGCTGCATTTCATCACAAGTAAAGCAGCGGTAATTTGAAAAAAAATAGAATTTCTCTCAGTCCCAAATGCATACACAGAGGGGCATCAACATGTTCTAACCAGCTGAGGGGGCAGATATTTCTACAGTATCCTCCCCCCCCACTCTGCCCTGCTCCCCCATTAAAATAAATCCTTTCAAATCAGCAAGATGCTGCAGCTGTACTAATTTCATTTTAATGATGTGTGATTCTCTCCGAAGGGATGCAACAGAGACTGGATAAAATATTAGCTCGTCTAATCCAATTTGGACTTAGTCTCCTCCTTTTTACAAGCTTTCTGTCTTTCCAAGATCACATTAACAAACGTTCTGAAATACTCTTTTTCGGCTGCTTTGCTTAGAAGATGCGAGCAAAGCCTTGAACTTTTTACTGAAAGTGCCAGGGAAGGGGAAAAAAAAAAGGCAAACGTTGGAATATCAGATCTAGTTTGGCAGGATAAGACAATGTTAGCATGGCTTTGCTTTGTTTGAAGATTAAATTCAGGAAATTAAATAGCAAACATTTCCAGTGTGAGTTGCTTTTGTATTTTTTACATCTCAAATCTAATATACAGGGTTATAGGTAGTCCTCGACTTACAACATTTAGTAACCGTTCGAAGTTACAACGACCCTGAAAAAAGTGACTTATGACCATTTTTCACACTTACGATCATTGCATCATTCCCATGGGATCAAAATTCAGACCCTTGGCAACTCATATTTATGACGGTTGCAGTGCTCCGGGGTCATGTGATCCCCTTTTGCGACCTTCTGACAAGTAAAATCAATGGAGAAGCCAGATTCACTTAACAACTGCATTGCTAACTTTACAACTGCAGTGATTCACTTAACAACTGTGGTAAGAAAGGTTGTAAAATGGGGCAAAATTCGCTCAACAACTGTCTCTCTTAGCAATAGAAATTTTGGGCTCAATTGTGGTCGTAAGTCGAGGACTGCTTGTACTTTGCAAGAAAGTTGAAATGCCACAATTAAATAGTCCAGGACTGGAAAATAGTTATTCGTGCTTAAACCTTCCATGGCCAGGAAGCATGCGGAGTTCTTATTTTTTAGCTTCTCATCACTCAGGATCATTGTGGGAACAAGATTTATTTATTTATTTATTTATGAGACTTATATACCGCTTTAAGTGCAAGCACTCTCTAAGCGGTGTACACCAGTAAGCAATGTATATATATATATTACATTGCCCCCAACAATCTGGGTCCTCATTTTACCTACTCCGGAAGGATGGAAGGCTGAGTCAACCTTGAGCCGGTGAGATTTGAACCGCTGACCTGCTGAACACAGTCAGCTAAAGTGGCCTGCAGTACTGCACTCTAACTGCTGCGCTACCTCGGCTAAATAGTGGGAAGGAACATCTGTATTAATCCTTGAGCTGCTCAGGAATGGACTGATGGAGCACATTTTAAAGCTGATTTTCTGTGACCTGTTCCAGGAATTATGTATTGGAAGTGTGACTTCAGTTGCCAGTATCAACCTACTGGCTGCTTGGGCATTAGGGCAGAGAAATATGAAAGTTATCTTCTCAGCCAAAGAAAAGATACAGGTTCTTATTCAGTGTCTAGAACTGACTGAAGCCATGAAGGCTAATGTAGCGATGGAAACGGACTTTCTAAATTGCAAAAATTTATCCCAGACTGAGATTAACAAATATAAGACTGAACAAAGGGAATGTGGATTCTGTGGATCCACAGGTAAAACTATTTACCAAAGCACCAGAAGACAAGAACCAATGGATGGAAACTAATCAAGGAGAGAGGCAATCTAGAACTAGGGAGAAATTTCCTAATGGTGAGAACAATCAACCAGTGGAAACAGCTTGCCTTCAGAAGTTGTGGGTGCCCCATCACTGCAGGTTTTAAAGAACAGACTGGACAGCCATTTGTCTGAAATGGTATAGGGTTTCCTGCCTGAGCAAAGGGTTGGACTAGATGACCTCCAAGGTCCCTTCCAACTTTATTATTCTATGCTCTAGGGAGGGATAAAATATCGAAAAGGGTAGAGATTTTGACTGCAGATGCATCAGGATCCAACACTTTAGTTCAAATGATGACATCATTTTCAAATTGTCAAATGATGACAACTCAGTGGAACGACTTGCCTCCAGAGGTTTGGGATGCTCCAACACTGGAGGTTTTTAAGAAGAGATTGAACAGCCCTTTGAACAGGGGGTTGGACTAGAAGACCTCCAAGGTCCCTTCCCACTTTGTTATTCTGTCAACATCAGCACTGCACCACAGTGCCAGACTTACAGAAGGTGGAGCTTGCAGCATAATCATTTGATTGATTATGTGGCATCAAGTCAGTTTCATTCTCTAGCAACCACTTAGATTTTCTCCAAGTTGACACACTTGGAGCTGAAGTGTTGAATTTTGCAGATGCTTCTGAACACTGCTGTTGAAAAGGCCTGAATGACATGGCTAAGCACAGCTGCAACAGTCGAAATCCAGTTCAGGAAGGAGAATGCATCAAGCAGAAGGGAGGGATTTGAACCAAGAGGTTGTGCAGGTGTCTACAGAGCACTGCACAGGTGGATCTTAGATTGCCAGTCAACCCAGATCTCAAATTAACTTACAGGAAACAGAATGGGCAGAAGCCAGGACATCAATTATGATTACGGGAGGATAACTGCTCTTGTATGGTAGCAACATTTGGGCAAGCAAAAAGTACAGGGAGTCCTCATATTACAACAGTTCATTTAGTGACTGTTCAAAGTTACAACAGCACTGAAACGTGTGACTTATGACCGTTTTTCACAGATACCACCTTTGCAGCATCCCCCCGGTCATGTGATCAAAATTCGGATTCTAGGCAACTGGTTCATATTCATGACCGTTGCTGTGTCCCAGGGTCATGTGATCACATTTTGCGACCTTCTGAAAAGCCAAGTCAATGGGGAAGCCAGTTGATAGGTTAATAAGCAACCTGGTCACTAACTTATCAACTGCAGTGATTCACTTAACAAACGTGTCAAGAGAAGTCGTAAAAGGGGGCAAAATTCACTTAACACGTGTCTCACTTAGCAACAGAAATTTTGGGCTCAATTGTGGTCGTAAATTGAGGACCTGTATTCAGGACCGGTATTCAACTGTTACCTCACCAGCCACTGAATGGGATTTGTACCCAGAGCACAATCAATGTCCTGTTAATGGGCGTGGTTGAGCCAAAGGCAACAGTCA